GCCTTCGAAATATCCGGTCCGCCTTGGGTATGTTGGCCTTCAGCACAAAGCAGGACCCGCCTCAGCCCAACCCCCGTCAAACAGCCATGTGCACATAAAACAATCAATCACATAACAATCCTCAACCAGACAAACAGTCTAACAGATCACATAGCATATCAACATCCTAACCAGGATTCCGACCTAACCGGTCACTAGCATAACATTACCCTATATCCCGGGTACCGACCTTAACCAGGTTACTAACATAACACCATCCTAAATATCAGGATGCAGATCTAGCAAAACAATAACCTAACAAACAATACCCGGATTTCCATCCGATAAAGGGCCGGCCTTGGTGCCGTAGACCCTGTCGATATAGTGAGGATAACTCACCTTGCAACTGCCGAAATCCTGCAAATCTCTGACCGCTGACTCACCGGGACTCCCAACTATCACATGATAATCACCAAGTTAGAAACCAACATGACTTTCTAGGCCAAGGGCCCACAACACTCATTAAGTCCATCATCCTCTTATTGGGCCAAGACCCAAAACCAAATCCTCTTGCAAAGCCCAATATTTGCCCAATTTACTAAATTGGGCCCACCTCACCAAATGGGCCTAGATCCAAGGTCTATAATAATTATTGGGTCTAAATTACTCCATCCATAATGTTCAGTCACGGCCCAAGCCCCACTAGCCCATAAACAGCCCAATCACTTAAGGCCAAAAATCAAAAACCCAACAGAGGGAGTACGCAAGGCGTACCCCTCTTGGTACGATGGGCGTACTTCGATTCTCGCGGACTGGGAACGGGACACTGACCCACTACGCTGGGCGTACATCAGCTTACGCGGGGTGTAATCTCGCTGAACTAAAATTCCACATAAGTTCTTAATGGCTTAAGCTCTTAAGCCCAAACTTCAGATCCATCGACCAAACATGCCTAGGATTCATAAAGTCTCAAACTTTATTACTTGGGACGTCCATAAAGCTCCTAACTCAAGGTCTTAATCCATTAAGACCCACCTACATCACACATGGGACAATCAAAGCCTTTGGGACCTCATTTTTCTCACTCAAGACCTCTCCTAAGGTCTGAAAGGACAGCTAATCTCAACCAACTCGCATCATGCATCACTTTGGGGTTTTTGGGACAAGAAATGGTATCAAAATCTCATAACACCTAGATCTACACAAAATAGATGTCAAGCAAGAGACTTTATACCTCAAAATGGCTCCAGAAGATGATGCCTTCCCAGATCTACGAGCTCCAGCCACCCAACTCCTTCCTTGACAACTTCTTCTTTCTTCTCCTAGGCTCTCCTTTGCCAAACCAAGCTCCCCCAAGGTCAAATATCCACAATCATGGAAGAAAACGGCTACTTAGGGTTTCTGAGAGTAAGAGGGCAGATATGGGAGCTAGGGTTGGAACCATAATGTTCCTTATATAGTGGCTGGCCCTAAAATTAGGGTTTCTGGACACTGGACGTACGCTGGGCGTACGCCCCCAACACCCGCGTTCATTTAACCGCTCTACGCTGGGCGTAACCTAGCTTACGTTGGGCGTACCCAGCCAATTACACGCATGCACTCCATGCATGCCGAGGACCCCTTCGCCAAATATTTCCTTTAGGGACCATTATTGACACTATCTTCAACGTGTCATAACTCCTTTATTCTAAGCCCGTTTCCGACGAACTTTATATTCACGAAAAGGTGGCGAGAAGCCCTATGCTTCTAGCAACACACCCCGACCCGAAACCTTCTCGAATAAAACCCATTGCCCATAATAGACCGAAACGCCCTTACTCTTGATCTCGGGGATCCATGAATAATTACTCTTAGAACGGGGCGTTACACTTCTCACCATAATTTCAGGTCTAAGGCACCAAGGTCGGGCGAATATTCATGATGTTGCATGTTAGCTGTTGTATGTTATATGTTGTGATTGGGTTGAAATATACCACAGGGCGGGGGCCCAGTATGACATGACGAGTTGAAATATGCCCTAGGGCAGGGCACACTGTGATCTATTGGGTTGAAATATACCCCAGAGGCGGGGGCCCATACTTGTTTTGGGTTTGGATTAAACCACAAGGCTGGGCCCATTCGTATGATTTGCATGTGTTATTTTGGGAAAACTCACTAAGCGTTTGCTTACAATTGTATTGTGATTTCAGGTGCGTCTGGTTCTAAGGGGAAGGGTCCGGGTCGATGGCGCGGCATGCACTCTCCACTATTTTCAGCATTCATTGATATGGATACTCTGATGATTTGTATGATGGTTTTTATGCAATGGATTTTTACTATCCAACTTATTGTTGTGAACCTTATTTAAAAATGAAAATTTTATTTGGATTTTTGGACTGTTACAATATATATATATATATATATATATATATATATATATATATATATATATATATATATATATATATATATATAATTGGTTTTATCTTTATTTTAGTAGAATTAATACAGATTATTTATAAAACTACTTTTATTTTTTTAAGTCAGTATCTAAGTTATATAAAATCATATTAGTATTATTTATTTTTTTTCTTTGTTTATTTTTTTTTTTTTTTGGTTTAAAAATCTTTTAATATTTTTTGACATTTTATTTGAATGTGTTATTTAATGTTTTTTTTTTGACGTTTTGTTTATTTAAATTCTATAATGATATTTTTGACATATTTTTCTAATAAATAAATTAAAACAATATATATTATATTGAATAGTTTTACTTTGGATTTTTTCATAAATAATTATACGAAAAAATATAACTATTTCGGCAATAAATGAAGAAACACTGACATATAAACGAATAATGTAAATGAAAAACACATAAACACATAAAACTAAATAACAGAACAAAACTAACATATAAGTGAATGATGTAAACAAAAAAAACATAAAACAACATTAAATAATTTTATTGAACGATATACAGTTATCCAGATTATTATTTAAATTTGCTATTTAAACAAAACATAATAAACGTCATTATGTAATGTAAACTAACAAAATGTTAAACAAACAACATCAAATAATATATTTAAATAAAATATGAAAAAAATCCAGGTTATTTTTTTTAATTTCTCTATATGAACAAAATGTAAAAGAAATAATAAAAAATATAAAATCAAGTAAAAAAATCAGTATATAATGTAAATAAACAAAACATTAAAAAACATCAAATAGTATATTCAAATAAAACGTCAAAAAATATTAAAAGATTTTTAAATCAACAAAAGAAACATATATAAATAAATCTAAAAATAAATAATATTGTTATTTTATATAGGCTTTTATAATTGATTTAAAAAGTAAAAATAATTTTATAAATAATCTATATTAATTTTATTAAAATAAAGATCAAATAAAATATATATATATATATATATATATATATATATATATATATATATATATATATATATATATATATATATCCCTATTCTAATTAATGAATGACATTGATATTGCCACTGAATAAGTAATAAAAGGACAATTATACCCTTAATTTATTTAATTATAAAATATCATAAATAAACATATATAAAAACTAGAATTTCTGTTTGTTTTGTCCTTTAATTGCATCACCATGTTTCTCCATGAACACCACCATCACCGTCACAATTATCATACGCCACACCCCTCTCAGGCAGCCCCCGCCATCTTCATAATCAAACCTTGTTCAACTAGACATCAACAACCATCACATACCCTGATACCCACTTGCCATTATCACCATCATCTTCTTCCCTGTTCCCTCTTCATTTGCTTCACCCTACCCCAACACCATTCAACCTGCAACAAAGAACTACCAACTAAATCACCATCTATAACCCCTTCTTTTCTGATCTTCAGGTCATTATCACAATTATGAACCACCGTCGTCTTCTTTGAGAAGCCCTCGTCAACAGGATCCAGTCTTCAATCTATTCACGCCATCGGCATCAAGAAGCGAAGCAGAAATTAGGATAGAGGCTAGCACATATAGTTGGAGCATCGATTTGGGGTGGGTATCGATTCTATTGAGGTGTATCTGGGGATTGATTTAGAAGGAGGACCGATTCAGACTTCAGAGTGGCAACCGACGACTTGGAAGAAGGAGCCGCGACCGGCGAACGGAAAAGAAGCGGCGGGGCGTCCGGTGAACGAAGAAGCAACATCGATTCACGTTTCATCGTTTGGGAAGAAGTCCAAGGAAGAAATCACGAAACCGACGTCTGGGAACTTTATTTTTCTTTTGATATTTTTGTAAATGAAAAATAAGGGCAAAAAAGTCATAACACTTTAAAATTAAGTGGATGGATAAAATAGTTCAGTGGAAATATCACCTCCCTAAATGAATACTTTTAATCTCATTTTGACAAGTGTCACTTTAATACAACTCGTCATTAATATTATGCCATGTGTCATGTATATATATATTAGGCAACTCATTTCAAAATTCAAATTTACATTTTCTAATTATATGTTACATTTGAAGTTATAATAACTTTAAAATTTTGATATATCTCTTAATTAATAAATTAATAATTTATTTAAAATGACTTATTTAAAATAATTGATTAATAATTATAATTTTTCTTATAAAATTTAATTAATTTTATAACCGTGGTTCCCACGGGTTATAAACTAGTATATATATATATATATATATATATATATATATATATATATAAATGGTTAAAAGAAAAAGATAAAAGAAAGAAAGGGTAATTTGTTCTTTTTATATCGAGTAAGTAGTGCAGTGTAATATTTGCAAACCACAAGGATGTAAACTATCAAATTTTAAATTTAGGGACCGAAACTTTGAATTCGACCAAACCTCAAGGACCATTTCTGTAATTTACTCTTATAAATATAGCAAAAGATTTTTACTTAAGGGAACACGTATATATGTACTTACATTTCATGTTCATAAACATAACAAACAACTATTCCCTCTTCACGTTTCATATGTCATGCATTTTGGTCTATAAATAAGGCTTGAAACCAATGAAATTAGTTGCAGATTCTGAAAGAAATGGATGAAATCGCCAAAAATTGGAAAATCTATAACGGAGTCACCCACTGGCTCGGATTATTAGACTCTCCCCCAAGTGACCTCCGCACCTACATCAACCACTACGGTGAAATGGCTGAAGCCACTTACGATGCATACATTAAGACACCGCTCTCAAAAAACGCAGGAAACTGTCGTTTTTCACGCAAAAATCTGTTCGACCGATGTGGGATTCTTCGTGGGCGCCCGTTGAACCAGTATAAAGTGACCAAGTACATTTACGCCACATCTGCTGTCCCAGTTCCTGGTGCATTTGTCACGTCTTCGTCAGCGCAGCCTTGGAGCAAAAAGTCAAACTGGATAGGGTTTATCGCAGTGGCTACTGATGAAGGGAAGAAGGTGTTGGGAAGGAGAGATATTATGGTTGTTTGGAGAGGGACAGTCAACCCTTCGGATATGGTTCATGATGCTGAGTTAGTGAAGGTTTCCGCTAAATTAATATTTGGTGAAATGCATCTAGATAACCCGAAAGTACACATGGGCTGGTACTCCATCTACACTACTGCGGATCCGAATACACGTTACAATCAAATTAGTGCTCGAGACCAGGTAATGTATAATCCCCAAGAGATCTTATTTATTTTACATGTTCAGAGAATTATCATATACCACATTATTCGTGAACAAAAAATTCATTTTGTTATGTTTAGGCGTTGGCTGAGGTGAAGAAACTAGTGAATGAATACAGGGAGGAGGAAACTAGCGTGACCATTACTGGGCACAGCATGGGTGCAGCAGTAGGGACACTCAACGCGATTGACATAGTCTTTAATGGAATCAACAAGCAATCAGTTGTGCCACCGAGGGCCTGCCTAGTAACCATGTTCGCTTTCGCTTGCCCAAAAGTAGGAGATGCTAACTTCAAAAAGGTATTCAATTCACAGACTAATCTTTATTGCCTACGCATTAACAATGCTCTAGATATAGTTCCCAAGTATCCTATGGTAGGGTATTCGGATGTTGGGCAAGAGTTGGGGATTGATACCACAAAGTCTACTTACTTGAAGAGTGTTGGGGATCCCGTGACTTGGCATAGCATGGAGGGTTACATGCATGGTGTTGCAGGAACACAAGGTATTAAGGGAGGGTTTAAGCTGGAGATTAATCGTGATCTCTCTCTTATAAACAAGTTTTCAGGTACTTTAAAGGATGAATATGGTATACCTAGTAATTGGTGGATTGAGAAGCATAATGGAATGGTTCAAAATGATAATGGAAATTGGGAATTGAAGGATCGTGAAGTAGATGACGATCAATGAGACCGATGGAAGAATTTTATTCAACTCTATTATATTGACTTGTGTTGGGTGTGTTGTTTGAACTTGTCCTTTTGCTTGTTTTTATTTTGTGCGCGCGTACTTATATTGTGTTGCTTGTTGTCATATTTATGAGATGAATTGTATCGATGTTGGTTAATGGACTATGGGTGAAACTTAAACTATTAGACTTTATGAATATCTGATCTTCCCCATATCCGTTGATATTTTATTTATAACAATAATATTTTAATGTTTGTAGTTACTGTCTTAATACATAAATTAATATGTAGTGTACTACTATTTGTTAGTAGATCTTATACATCATAAAATGCTTGTACGTAGTACTAATAGGTTGTGACCAAAATTGTACCACCAGTGTATGTCATTTATAATACTACTAGGTTACAACATGTGGAAACCACGGTAGGTATGTTCAAATTTTTTATTATGTAGACAAAAATAAGATTAAATGTCAACAGAATAAAAAACAATGTATTTCGGATTGTAAGTAAAGCCGGATTAATTTGATAAGTATAAAAGAAAATCTTTTAAATTACATTTGGAAACACTTCTTTGTATATTTCATTTGACGTTTTATTGGTTAAATTATAATTTTTATCTAAAATCAATAACTTAAATCATTATATGCTCATTTTTCTGGATAAAACAACATATAACTGACCGTATAAGAAAAAAAAATCTTGAAAAAAAAATCAACATTTGACATCGATTGGTATTGATTTTTATTTATGGTCATAACAAAACAAACACCCAACGAAAATTGTCTCATTTTCAAATTGAATGGAATTTTGACGTCCAAAGGTGTTAAAGAAAATTTATAAAAGGAATATGTACTATATAAAAGTGTATAGATAAATATATGATAAAGTCATTGTTATTGTATATTATTACTAAGCATTTTGTATGTATAAATTTTAAAAAAAATTAAACGTTAATGATGAAACATTAATTTTGTAAACTAAAATTTAACAATAATAATTTATTGTGTTAAAAAAGCGGTAAACGTATTTATGATTAAAAGTAAACTAATATAATTTTTTATAACTATTTAAAAATAAAAAAGTAATTACATGGGTAAAAAGTTATTGGAAAATAAAAAGTTACACGCACTTATGCCGGTACACTAACAAAATATATGGACTAAATTCAAACTTTAAATAAGAAGCATGAAATTGGATTTTATGAGATATACAAATTTTTAAATCAAAGATGGTTTACCACTTACCAAAAAAATGGAAAAATTGAAAATTCCTTATAAATATTTTTTAGTTTTTCGAATATTTATGTTATTAGGATAGGATATTTTTAAAATTTTAAATCAAAGATTTTTAAAATTACCAAAAAAAATGGAAACTTGAATTTTGAATTTTGAATTCCTTATAAATACTTTCCGGAAAATAAGGAAATACCAAAAAAAATAATGAAAATTAGGAATTTCTTAAAAATTGTCACGTGTCAATTAGCCTACTTAGAAATGAGACATGTGACATTTAAAAGTTTTGTTTATTAGAGGAGGTAGATTAAATTTAAATACGTATCACAGTAACAAACACATTATATGCAATATTCTTGGTAACACACTAACAAGCAACATACAATCAAAATGATATCCTCCTTAATAAATAAAAATCTTTTTGTCACATATCATTCTTTTTAATTTGGACACATGGGATTTTCTAATATCTTTGAATAAATGTTTTTCTATTTGTCATTTTATTATATTTTTTATCTTATTAATTAATTAACACATTATATGTACACCTCAATTAATAATTGTCTTAATTGAAAATAATCAACAAATTACAATATTACTATTCATATATTGTATATAGTATGTTTCTTTTTAAATTCAAAATTTAAATTTAAAAATTCAAATCTAAAATTTTAAATTTAAATAAATTTTTGTTTAAACCTTCATATTTAATTTTTTTTTGTTTTATCCAACACGTATAATGTATGGGTCTCACAAGTAGTCTAATAATATGAGAAATATAGTTTCTAGTGACGTCAGACATCAATGTTGACATTGTAGTTCCCAACGCCGATAACATGTGGATACACTGCAAAGCATTTTTCATCGCTATTAGAAAAGTCCTTTGCAACAACAACCATCAATAAAACTCATTTTTCAAATATATTTTTTTGTTTTATATTATTTGTCCATAAATATATACAAAACACCATGACAATCTTTCCAAGTACTTTCAAATTTCCAAAAAAAAAAGATAAACATTCAAAACTTAATAAAAAATAAATCATTCACTACTAGAAATACAGGCTTTAGCGACAGAAATATCCGTCGCAAATTCGTTGCAAAAGACCTTCAGTGATCGATTAGCGACTGAAAGAGCCAACCAGTAAAAGCTTTGTGGTTGAACATTAGCGACAGAATCAACGACAAATTTTTTTTGTTAGCGACAGAGTTAACGACAGATTATCTTGTCGCAGAATGTTCTTGAAAAAACTATTGGTCATCGCAGATTCATCCTTGATGAGATAATAACGACGGTTTAACGACCAATTATTATGTCGCAAAAAGTTCCTAGCATTGTTCAGATCCATCGCTAAATTGTTTATATGATAGCTCCCAAAAGATGTTTCTTTTTACCCAATTATGAGTAATCCCAAACCCAGACAATTTTGTGAACTCGGGACCATGCAATTTCGTATTGCTTGGTCTATGAGGACTACCTTCGTAAACAGTTGGGAAGTGTCGTATTTGCTCCCAAATTTGATCACCAGTTAAGACCTGAGGTGCTGGCGATTACATGGTAGTTTGAGCTAGAAATTTGTGTCTATCACTTTTATACCGGTGTCATATAGGTAAAAAATTTTGATGACAGTCAAACCAACATGGTTTATCTTCGTGATGTAACAGAAATGATCCCGACTCACCTATGCAATAAGGGTATTCTAACTTTCCATGCGTTCTCCATCCAGACAACATTGCATAAGCTGGAAAGTCACTAACAGTCCACAAAAGTATAGCTCCCATGGTCAAATTTTCTCTACGTGAAGCATCATAAGCAACAATGCCATCATTATACAACATTTTCAACTCGTCTATCAGCGGAGGGAGAAGGACGTCTAAATTTTGACCGAGACTCTTTTTTATAGGAATAATCATGCTTAATTGAACATATGAGTCTCCAAGGAGGCAAGTTATAGATTGAAGGAAATATAGGCCAACATGAATACATACTCAAATTTGAGTTATTTAGGCTAAACTCATCGATATATAACCCAAGACGAACGTTTCGTGGATCACTTGCAAATTCTGGATGCTTTGAGTCAAAATGCTTCCATGCAACACATCACTTGGATGGGCCGTCAAACCTGGTTATGTACAATGTTTATAGTGTCAAGTCATCTGTTTGCCGTCTTTTTTTATCATATATAACCTCTTAAGTCTAGGAGCAATTGGCAAGTGTCGCATCCTCAAATAAGGAACCAAACTTAATATGTCACTCTTGTAACGATCATGACTACAAACTCGACACTTGGTTAAGTCAAAATCAATCTCTTAGTAAAGGCTGAAATTAAATAAACATGCGTATTTTATATTTTCGTCGTTGAAATTAAATAAAAATGCGTATTTTATATTTCCGTCGTTGAACCCTTGTAATTCAGTCGATAATATAGCTATGGAGAATTTTCGTTGCTGATACCTTTTATTCTAGAAATGATTAACATGTAGTAAAAAATCATTTAAAACGTAATAAAAAGAATTTAACTATGCATCATTCACCTCATGTCACATGCTTATTGAGACCGATTGAATCATCGAAGTGGAACTGCGGTGACAACTTGTAACGTCCCAAAAATTAAGACTAAAAATTTTGATTTTTAAATTAATTAAAACCATTATCCAAACAACAACATAGAAACCATGGTGAATCAAAGTGTATCAATAACATCCAAGTACATCAGAGTAATATAAAAATGCAGAACGATGTGGTGTGTGCACTGGAATCATCTCGGGCTCTTCCCTTTCGAACCAGAAGTACCTGAAACATAAACTGAAAACCATAAGCACAAAGCTTAGTGAGTTCCCCAAAATACCACATACCATACATATCAAACATATACTGGTCCCCGCCCGACATTGGGCCCCACTCGGTAAACAGATATGTCGGTCATCAAGCCCCGCCCGGGATACATGTAAAAACATAAACATATGATCATATAACACATGTAATAATCACAAAGATAAATAGCATACATAATAGTCATCAGACCCCTTCCTGGTAAACATATAAACACACAACACATACAAGAGTCACGCAGACAACTAGCATCCTAAACATAACAAACCATTGATCGGAATTGGTCCCTTCAACTTGCTAAATACAGTGAGGAAACTCACCTTTAGCTGCTAAATCTCTCAAATAAATCTCGGTCTATTGGTCCGAAAAATCCCCACGCTAACATCATCAAATAATATCCAATTAATAATTGGATCTCTACCCATAATCAAGAATCTAAGCTACTTGTCCAATATCCAGGGTAAAGGACAATTTTACCCTTTTTCTTACTTGGCCCAAAACCAAGGCCCATCCCATCTACTCAAAAGGCCCAAATTCCTTAAATGGAATTCCAAGGCCCAACTTCTAAATTGGGCCTAAAAATCATCATGAACTTAATCCTAAGTAAGTCCATATGTAACACCGTAAATTTTCAACAAAATTTTCATTTTAAAATCACATAATTCTCATTAACACATTTCACAAAAATCCCAAAGTATCAAATTATTAAAGACACATATCCATTATAAAAATCCAGGATCCTCAAACATAACTTTATCTTGTGTGTACAATCAAGTCGGCGCTTTCCCGCGATCCTGAGAAGTATCTGAAACACATATCACATAACACGGTAAGCACAAAGCTTAGTGAGTTCCCCAAAATACCACACATATCTCATTCGCCTCTCATGGCTATACTCAAGTAAGAACCTTCGGTCAATGTATCTCAGTGGAA